TTCATAACCAAAATAGGTCAGATGCTAGTTTACTGAAGAAGAAAAATCACAAAACATCAGTACATCACTATTTATCCACTTAATACATTCCAATTTTTTATAAGTTTTATATTTATTATTCAACTAGTGAGTTTGTATTATAATTAAAAGAGCTGCGTAATTCTTATCATTTGTGTCGACTCACAGTTTGAGAGGTCACGGGTTCGAATTCCCCGTCACACCAAACATGCTCGCCCTTTCAGCCGTAAGAACGTTATAATGTGACGGTCAATCCCACTATTCGTTGGTAAAAGAGTAGCCCAATAGTTGGTGGTGAGTAATTGTGACTAGCTGCCTTCCCTCTAGTCTTTCACTGCTAAATTAGGGACGGCCAGAGCAGATAGGCCTTGCGTAGTTTTGCGCGGAATTCAAAACAAAATAAACCAAACTTATCAGTTGTTTTTGAGGTAGCACAGTTTTATTAATTTCTTACCGTGAAAAACAACGGAAAAGCTCGAACAAGATCTATAACCAAATAAATTTTCATATGTAATTTAGAACTGTATATAATATATATACATATATAGTTCATATCAATATATATTTCTTTCATTCAACTTATATTTTACTCTATAGTTTTAATTGACCAGAATAATGTGAAACTGGTAGCCTTCCAGTTACTTCAAGTTAGTTAAAGACCATCACAGAAATAGCAAATCTGAAATTTCTACTTACTGAACACTTAAAAAATTAACCTACCAATAAAAATTATTAATAAGAATACTTACTTCTAATTTTTAAATATTTTCCACTCTAACAGCATCCATTTTATATAATTCAACCATCCTGATGTACAGCTTACTGTAATGGAACTTGCTATCTCTTTTAATCAATACTTGTAATATATATTAGTCATTCATGTGATATATACTACTAAAATATAAATAATGTGTTTGAAAATGATTTCAAGTTTACTAAACATATCTTAGCTCTAGAATATACGGATGTATTAATGTTTAAGGCAAGTCTTATGTTTTTAAAAGTTGTTGTAACAACAGCGTAGCTCACCTTTATTACATTAGAATGGATTGGAGTACATTTTAAGGCACACCTTAGACTTACTAGACTTTAATTATATGATAACATTTAGTTTGCAAATTTACACTTTAGTACACTTAGGCAGTAAAATCAGTTTAACTCAGGCTTACTAAACTTCTATAGGGTATTAGTGACGTTTAAAGAATAACTTAAGCTTACTATATTTACACAGGGAATGAATGATGATTTACTAAAATAAATCTTAGTTGTTGTAATCTTCAAGCTACAATTTATGTTTACAATATGTAAAGAAATGTAAAAACGTTGATGACAGAATTCATACTTAGCTATCTTAAGGCGCAATTTAAGGTTATTAACTTATGAAGGTTTTATGCTAATTCCTTTGCAGAATTAAAATGGATATGTATATGAAGCAAACATGTACTATGACTCTGTACCCATGTAGTTGTTGTACGAAAGTAACTGCAACAGTAAATATGATTATATTTTCAAAATACTTTGGTTATTTATCACGGTACGAATTTAATATCGTGGCCAATAAACAATGTAACTGGTAAAAAATATATAATTTAATTATTTTGGAAAAGTTTAATCTTTCTTACATTTTGCAGAGAAATCCAATAAATGTTTAACGTAATACATAGATCATGCTTATCAAAATTCATATTTATAAAAGTAAATCAGTTTATTATTACAATTAATTTAAAATATATTACTGAGGCTGTATGTATTTACGTTTACTTTGATATAATTCACAATAAAAATAATAGTTTTAAATAAACTGTTCAGATAAACACATAATATGATTGGTTGAACACTATTTCATTTTATTCTTCATGTTACTCTTCTATATGAATGACCTTGTTTGTTTATCACTGTAGAATGTTACGTATGTTTAAACGTTTCATTAAACACTTTGCAAATGAAACAGTTTATCTCGTGCTGGTATCTGTTTAATATTCTTCTACAGAACTTAGAGTGAAAATAATTTATGATGCTTGTTAAGCTAGCAGGGAACATCTGGTTCAGGTCAAGTTTTACATTAAACTAATGAGATATTCAACGGGCATATATCTTAAGGCCATCTTTGTTGAACAATATCACCAACACTGCTTGATTTTTTTCGTACTTTTAAGAGAGACTGCTCTTCTTACTAGCTAAAGAGAACTGAGCTACAAATATTAGAACTCAAGGACAGCTAAGCAGCAGGTGTGCCCTGAGGATTAATGGAGCAAGGTCAAATACAAGCAAGTTGTTACTACCGTATTAGTTGTGAAGTTTCAACACGTCTTGCTTTCGTTATTTTTTATTAGCTTCAAACGGTGCAAGTTGTAACTGTAACGGGATTCCCCGTGTGCAGTGTTCATGAATTAGTTGAGAGATACTTACAGACTATGATTCCTTATCTGTTAAAATAAGAAACTTGACAAAACAAAGGTGTAGAAATAGAAGCTGATGTGAAGTAAGTTTTAGCTTTACTGCACAATATCATGATTGAAATTGAACATCCACATTTCCAGGTATTGTAAAAGTGTCCGATATCTCCAAATGCTTGTGACAAGAACAGATGAAAATCAAAGCTAGAATTTGGTTACATTTTCATACTGCCACCCACAACAAATAACTCTTAAGGCTCTTAAATAATTTGATCTTATCTTTCTTGGTATTTAGAACTTTTCTTGTTGTTTTTTTGTAAGTGTTTTGAGAAGAACTATACATTCAACTGGCTCGATAACTGTGACCTGAAAACTAGAATGAAGAAGTATGAAATTTAAATGCATATAAGAATTCTTACATTCCGCTATCATTTAGTTTCTCTAAGGAAAACACATATTCAACAAATTAATTTAGAATAACAAATTATAATAATTAAACGGTTGTTTATTCTCCAGGTCATTTTTCGATAAGAATTTTTGTCATAGTTACTCTCGTGAAATGAAATGATGTGAAATGTTCTTAACTGTTGAAACTTAATTGACACTCTTGTTACTGCAATTCTAACAAAAAGCAGCGAATAGCGTTGTCTTGATAGCTCTCTACATACCTTTATTTGAATTATTAGCCAAACACTTATCAATATAACTAAAAACATCTTAACCAGTGCTAAAGAATTAATTTTAGTTACATTAAGTACTACTGTTAACATTTCTCTTTTTACTCAATTATAAAACTACCTTAACCGCTTGGTTCAACCTCGTTTACGAACGTGTATATTAACACAGAGGTATACGATAATCGTGTATCTTTACACCCTACACGTTGGCTACATTGATGTAATAATATTATTTTACAGGAACGCTCTTATAAGGGAATGCTTAAAAATCAAAACTGATCAGTCTTAAAGCTTATTATGCATCAGGTTACACTGTGAGTTCGCTTGTTTTAACGCAAACACAATAGGCTATTTGCACTCTATCCACCGCAGGGAATCGAACCCGGAATTTAGCAATTAAGTCCTTAAGCTTACCTCTGACCCACCGAAGGACTATAATGTGGTTATAGTCGTTATCAGAAGTGACATATAAATTAGTGTTTGCATTGTAATTATTAATTAAAACAAAACCATTAACAAGCGTCGCCATATTTTCTAACGAACTACTATGGTTCACCTTTCCTATGAGTTTAATACATTTTGGTCATCTTTACTTAAAGAAAGTAAGAGCCGATTCCTTTTAACTTCATATATCATATATCATATATGTAAAAGTAGTATCATGTTTATTATATTTGTAAGAAAGTGTAAAAGTAGTATCATTTTTATTATATTTGTAAGAAAGTGTAAAAGTAGTATCATGTTTATTATATTTGTAAGAAAGTGTAAAAGTAGTATCATGTTTATTATATTTGTAAGAAAGTGTAAAAGTAGTATCATGTTTATTATATGAGAAGGAAAGAATGTGACAGTTTGCAACAGAAAGAACAGAAAACGACAACTTAAGGAAGTTCATGTAACTTACCAAGTGAAAAAAATTACAATCATGATAAAAAAATAACATAAAGTATCAGTTTTTTTAGATTATTATGGAAAGTAGAAAACTTATAGTTAGGTAACAAGCAAGGAAAAGTTTCAGTCAAAATTTTTAATCACATTTGCCAAAATGTTGTTGGTTAAAATCCAAACGTTCTTATCGATTCTCAGATATTTTAACTTGCTAATTTGAAATCATCGCACTACTTCTAAATATTCCGCCAGTGCATATTTTCCAATCATCACTTTTAACAAACACTATATAGTAAAATACAGTCTTATCATTCATTTATAGTTAATTTTAACCTTCTTATTACTTCTAGCACAATATAGATGTTTAGCTCCAATCATCCTCGAAACGTTGAATTAAATTCATATGATTAATTCTCACTTTTTCATGACTTTTTAACATTGATTTTAACCTATCTCGCACAATCGCATATTTTAATATATATATTACAATCTTACATAACATAACATAACGTTCTCGGACAACGTCGGACTTACTGGTCCATCTTGGCTGCCCCATCCTCTAAACTAAACTAAAACTATTATAAAAAATTCTTAAAGCCAGCCTTTATCATGCACATACTTATCAAGCTTACTCTTAAACTCACTTAAATTTACTGCCCCCACAACATCCGAAGGCAACCCATTCCAAAAGTCAACCACCCTGTT